ATATATATATATCTATATATATATATATATATATATATATATATATATATATATATATATATATATATATATATATATATATATATATATATATATATATATATATATATATATTTATATATATATATATATATATGTATATATATATATTTATTTTTTTTTTTTCACAAAATGAAATGTCAATTGTGATTGGCTGAAATGTGCCCCTGACAGCAGTATGACTGACCTCTGCCTCACCGCATCTCCTCCTTGAAGCAGTTCGTCCTTCTCCAGGTTATCAATGGCCAGTTTGCAGGCCAGGTTTGCTTTCCTCCATGCCATCTGGTTACTGAGAAAGGAGATTAGTGATGATATTGTATAATTAAAGCATTACATCTGACATTCAGCATGTAATCAGGAAAAAAAAACAAGACAATAAACAACTGTTTCTCTCTAACCTTAACATCTGCTTCCGATGGCCTTCGGTTTCGCTCAACAGAGCTTGTTTATCAGTCTCTCTATCTTGTTCTTTCGCCATCTGCTCCATGTCCTATCAAAAGAAAATGCAGACTTTTCGAATACAAGGTTAACCCTGAAAACACGGATGAATAAAGTAACAGGGAAACGCTTTTTTGTTTATCTAAAGTTCAGACAAAATGAAACTTTAATTTGTTTCTGGTATTTTTGTGGGAATAGTAAGGAAGAAAGAGTAGCTCATTTTGTTTAGAATTAATTTCTGGTATCTTGGGAAGTATGTCTATATGTTTAATTAAAAATAAAAGACCTCTCTTTATCTCTCTTTGTTGGTCGAAGTTCAAATCATTAATGCTTGCTTTCAGGATAGCCACTGGCACTGATCTCTCATCTTCCACTCCCTTTAAGAGTTAGTTGTGTCGCGTCATAGTGCATTTGCTATTTACATGGTGGACGGTGTAAGTGTAAAAACTGAACGCTTCACTAGCAAGTTAAACAGAGCATCTGCAGCGAGAGGATAAAGAATGAGCCTCCTCATTCTTCACTTTCATCGTTTCATCAAACGTGTTGTATGCACAGACATCCGTTAGCCTAATTAATTTCGTTTGTTAAGCGCAAAGATTCGTTTCAAAACTATTTCTAAACTCAGTTCTAATTTCCAGCAAACAAATAAATGAAGAACAATACCGAAGTGTGGTCATAAAGTTTTTCCAAATACACATGCTGCGCCCCTATGCTCTAAAACCTGACAACTGGGCAAATCTAAGCTTGTTTTTAATAAAACAAATATAGATATGCATATAATAATTAATACTGCCAATAATAATAACATTATACAAAAGCAGATTGTCATGAATAAACTGACAAAGTTTTTTTTTTTTTGTCTGAATAAGAAAAAAAAACTTTTTTCCCCTTTAAACACAATCTATTTTATTCTGAGAAAAATGTAAAATATTTTAAAAACAGTAAACATGTCAGGCTAAATAATTCAGATGAATCGCAGATTTCTTTCCAATTAAGAACGGCATCCTTGGATATTTTTTCTGCTAGAGATACTGCTGTCATAAAACAAAAATCTTACATAAATTGTAGAAACTGTATAGCAGAAAGTCTTGGTAGTTTTAAAACCTTGACTTTTCCAAACCACTGTATGCCTTGAAAACAGTTAGCGTTCCATGCCTATTAGATACATCATCATTTTAGCTTATGATGTATTGTTTAATAAAAATGATTAAAATCTCTACAAAACTTGATATAATCTAGCTGTAATCACACTAGCATTATTATAAAAATTAGCATTGAGGTAAAGTTGGTTTTATGTTCGCACATTTGATCAGTGACGACCAATGAAACTCTCCCTGTTTACCATGGTACCTTTTGAGTATTCCGTCTGATATCCCATGTAAGTATGACTTCAAAACAATATTAGCACTATTTAATTGACTGTGAACAATGTTATACTTTGATAGTCAGTGGCTGCTAATATGATTTCACTATTTAGAATTTGCAAACAATACTTTTCTGAGGGGAAATGTCGGAATGTGTGAATATAAGACCGCCTTAACCTCAATGAAATTAGCACGATAATAACAGAAATTATCAAGACTTTCCTTAAGCAAACGCATTATTAAATATTAAAATTATACATTTTTATTTAATATACATCAATTACACATCATTTACAAGAAAATCATTATTTCTATTTGTTTTAATTTTTACTTTATTTACAGAAAACCAATAGAGATTAAAACAACACGTAGATTCTAGATTCTTCTCAATTCGTGTGTTGTGAAATGACAAATGTACCTGAATTCTCTGTCTTAAGAGACTGAACTTCTCCTTGACTGTTGAATTTAGCTCCATCAGCACCGCCTGTGGCCCACAGCACTCTCTTATATCCTGACACGACCCAAAAAACACACATTTATAAAGAAGAATTGACATTTGGGTTTCGTGTTGACAATTACACACACACCAGCGAATACGGCCAAATATTTGTCTTACTATCTGTCAATGTATATATCAGTAATGCCATTATTAATGTTAATTTCAAGAATGTCGTCTACCTGAATTATAGCTTTGATTTCCAGGTCGTATTTGATAATCTCTTGGCCACATATTCGGACATGTACATCAGAGGAAGACGCCATGTTTGTTGTCATACGGTACGACAGAAGGTCCAAACGCTATAGTAGCGCCTTTTTAGATGCGCTCTCAAAACTGATCTGGGTACAATTTTTTTTTGTCTTATTTTGTTGTAGCATAGAAATATAGAAAGCTCACGAGGCTAAACATGTTTACTTCAATGATTTATATAATTTTCGTCAAATAAAATATTGCATACACTCTAAAAAAAAAAAAAAAAAAAAACAGCTTAAACTAGCCTAGGCTGGTTGGCTGGTTTTAGCTGGTTAACCAGACTGGTTTTAGAGGGGTTTGGGCCATTTCCAGGCTGGTTTCCAGCCATTTTCAGCCTGGACCAGCTTGACCAGCCTAGCCAAGCTAGGAGCCCAGCCAAAACCAGCTATGTCCAGCTTAACCAGGCTGGTCAAGCTGGTTTTAGCTGGTTTTAGCCTGGTCATTTTCCAGACAGACCAGCTAAGACCAGGATGGAAATGGCTGGAAACCAGGATGGAAATGGCCAAAACCCCTCTAAAACCAGGCTGGTCAACCAGCTAAAACCGGTCAACCAGCCTAGGCAGGTTTAAGCTGGATTTTTCAGCAGGGCTGTAACTGAGGTAAAGTTTGTTTTATATCCACACATTCAGACTTTCTCCCTAATAATATATTTTCAGAAAAGTATTCTTCGTAAATTCTAAATAGTGAAATCATATCTTAGCAGATATGCTAAATCTTAGCAGCCACATCATCGTTCATGGTCAAATAAATAGTGCTAATGTTGTTTTCAAGTCATTCTTACATGTGATTTTAGAGCGAATATTCAAAGTACCATAGTAAACAATAATGGGAGTATGTCACAAGTTGTCACTGAAAGGTCAACATTACCTCAGTAAGTCTTCCTGCTCTTTTGATACACTCCAAGTCTTTTAATGTCACCAAATCTTTGTTATGAAAATGGCTGATTAGATTATTGATATATATAAAAGGGCTGTAACATCATTGAAGAGATAGAGGTAAAGTTGGCCTTATATTCGGATATTCAGACATTCTCCCTAATAATATGATTTGAGAAAGTATTCTGTCCAAATTTTAAATAGGGAAATCACATTAGCAGTCAATGATTATCAAAGTACAACCATGTTTACAGTCAGTTAGATAGTGCTAATGTTGTTTTAAAGTCATACTTGCATGCTAATTCTGACCGAATATTCAAATTAGGGTGGTAAACAATATAGAGACAGTTAAATGAACGAATGTGCGAATATAAACCCAACTTTACCTTAATGTTAAAGTGGTGTAAAGCAAGATAAAAATGTTTGATTATTATAAAATTAAGATTTTATTTTTTTACCTTTCCTCAAATAAAATCTGTACATTAACTAAAAGATATATTAAAACACACAATAAAAAATAAATTTACTCAGCTGTAATGTACACCCACTGGCCACTTTATTAGGTACACCTGTCCAACTGCTCGTTAATGCAAATTTCTAATAAGTATGACAGCACCTCAGTGCATTTAGGCATGTAGACATGGTCAAGACGATCTGCTGCAGTTCAAACCGAGCATCAGAATGGGGAAGAAAGGTGATTTAAGTGACTTTGAATGTGGCATGGTTGTTGGTGCCAGACGGGCTGGTCTGAGTGTTTCAGAAACTGCTAATCTACGGGGATCTTCACGCACAACCATCTCTAGGGTTTAAAGAGATGGTCCAAAAAAAAAGAGAAAAAATCCAGTGAGCGGCAGTTCTGTGGGCGCAAATGCCTTGTTGATGCCAGAGATCAGAGGAGAATGGCCAGACTGGTTCCAGCTGATAGAGAGGCAACAGTAACTCAAATAACCACTTGTTACAACTGAGGTCTGCAGAAGAGCGTCTCTGAACGCACAACATGTCCAACCTTGAGACGGATGGGCTACAGCAGCTGAAGACCACAGAGAGCGCCACTGCTGTCAGCTAAGAACAGGAAACTGAGGCTACAATTGGCACATTCTCACCAAAATTGGACAATAGAAGACTGGAAATATGTTGCCTGGTCTGATGAGTCTCAATTTCTGCTGCAACGTTTGGATGGTAGGGTCAGAATTGGGCATCAACAGCATGAAAGCATGGATCCATCCTGCATTGTAGCATCGGTTCAGGCTGGTGGTGGTGGTGTGTTCGTGTGCAGCAACTGTGTGATGCTATCATGTCAATATGAACCAAAATCCTTGAGGAATATTTCCAGTATCTTGATGAATCTATGCCACAAAGGATTAAGGTGGTTCTAAATGCGAAAGCAGGTCCAACCCGGTTCCAGTAAGGTTTACCTAATAAACAAGCGGGTCTATGTATATTATTTGCTCTATCAGGAAACTAGAATTGCACTATTTATAATAAGTTCTTACATGCAAACAACTGTAAAAAAGGAAAGCACAACACCACAGCTGTTCAGAGAATAATAAGGGAAAGTTTCTGGTTTCATTTTGACTGAGAAATTTGCTGATTTGCTGCCAGAAGTCAAAGGCGTCCAAAAACAGAGCGAGAAAGAGAGAAATAATAGGAGGAAGAGAAAGGAGGAACAGAATAAAGCAGTCGAGTCTCAAGTGAAAGTCAAGCGAAAACAGTTATTAAGGTGATAAAAAACACAAGACAGATGAAATGCTGCAGTTCTAATGTTTATTTCTGATAGTAAAATCAATAATAATTAGACTATCATGGTTACAAGCAGAATTGTGGTACCAACTCCGGGCTGATACAATGCAGTGACATAATTAAGGATAATAAAAATAAAAAAATGAAAAGAAATCCAATAAAGAAGAGGCACAATAACACAGACACATTTTGAAGGTCAATCACAACTGCTTTTAAGCCTACTTCACATCTGTACACTAACAAGGCTCAATAAACCAAGCTGTTCTCCAACTAGTTGTGCCAATGGAAAAGAAACATTAAAAAAAAAACACACACACAAAAAAAAGAAATAAAATGTCCAAAGTATGTCAAAAACCCAGCACAACACTGAAACATAAATAGAACAACTGCCAAGATATTGTATTTGAACAGGCATATATGTGAACTACAAATATAGACGTCGCTAATAGGATCAAGTAACTGTTAGTTTCAGTAGGATACACTTCTGCAGAGATTTGCTTAAGAATATCACCAAGAGATCTATGACAGAGCACTTAGCAATGAAATACAGCCTTCCTACTGTGACTACAACAAAATTGCAAAAAATAAAAAAAAAAGGGGAGGTTTTACACTTGGGGATTTTACACACACACATTACTAGCTACTTAAGGATCCCATGCTAAATTATCAAGTAGAATACCATACAACATTAGAAGCACAAGTTCACGTATTGTTTATTAGGTTTTTTTTATCTTTATTTTTATATAGCTGACACGTTGTGTCAATCGTAAATTGAATGTTGTATGGATTTTCAAAACTAAAGACAAAAAGGAATCGAAAAGCTATTGGTGGCCCTGGTTAAGTATTCGCAAACCTGCTTCCAATGTTGAAGGTCAATTTTGTGATTCAATGCAAATTTGGCAAAGGTTAGAAGGGAATGTAAATCACTGCAGCGTAATCGCGTAGAAAAAAAGATGCAATCGGACAGGTGCGAAGGTTTATCGTCGACCTTTTTTTGGTAAAGTTTGTTTTAGAGTAGTGATTCGAGTGTGTCCGGTGCACGTCAGTGCAAGAGATCTGGGTCCAACAGTCCAAAGTCGCTTTTCCACTGCGCAGTACGGTCAGGTTCATCAAGGCTCGGCTTGCATTTCCACTGCAATTTAGTACCTTGTACAGTGAGTGGGATTATCGCTATTGTTGACCACTTCTAATGACATGACATCATCGTAAATGCAAAATAAACAAACGAGGGACACAAACCAACCTTCAAAATGGAGGCATCAGGGATGGGCAAACTAGGGCTGCGTCTGAAACCGCCTACTACTCGGTAGGTACTGCATTTGAATGTAAACGTACTACTCGGCCATTAGAAAAGTATGTTCTATAAAGGAAGAATGTGAAAAGTATTCATCGAATTCGGACGTACTACATCTGCCATTTTGTCATGGTCACGTCACCTACCTGCGTCAGTTGCGTCGCTTTACTTCCATTCATGAATTCTCTCGTGGGGCATTATGGGATAGCGCAGCATGCATGGGATGCGCACTCCAGAATCTCGCCGGAAGTAGTAAGTCATCCGGGTACTTCTCGCATACTGATTTTCAAATTTTAGGAATTCGAACATACTACTCGGCTCGCATACTGATTTTAGCGTACTATATAGTATGGAAGTATGCCGTTTCGGACACAGTCTAGGTCTTAGAGGTGTTTAGCTCCAACAATGATCAAACATGCTGATCAGTGTCTTCGATATCACTAGATATCTATAGGCAGGTGTGTTTGATTAGGGTTGGAGCTAAACTCTGCAGGACACTAGCCCTCCAAGACAAAGTTTGTCCATCCCACCTGTAGACGCAAATCCAGACAGTGATATCATGACATTTCACTTTGATCAGCAGGGTTGTCAAAAGTATCGAATTTCGTACCAAAATCGGTACTGGAATTTTAAAAATGTCCGTTTCCTGCTAACATTTGAGCAAGTGCTTAAATACCACTGATCGGCTCTTGTGTTCATGTGCTCAAGAGAAATGACAGTGGCTGCATCCAAAATCGCATACTTCCATACTATACAGTATGATCAAAACAATATGCGAGCCGAGTAATATGTCAGAATTCATAGTAATCGAAAAACAGTAGGCAAGAAGTACCTAGGTGACCTACGACATTCGGCAAGATTCTGAAGTATGCATCCGATGGATGCTATGTTATACCATGTTGCAATGCGGGAGAATACATGAATGGGTGTGAAGCGACGCAACTGATGCAGGTAGGTCACATGATCAGGACAACTGGCAAGCTCACATTCTACTAACATTCATACTATATAGAACGATCGTGTAGTAAATTCAAATTCAAATGTAGTCCCACTTGCGTAGTAGGCGATTTTGGACGCAGCCTGTGATTGGCCATGAAGGTCATCTGTTCACTATTCTTTAAGGCTGTTCACC